CCCCCCCCCCGGCCCCGCCCCTAGGGTAGGGCTAAATACCCTCCTGCCCCCTTCCTTCTGAGACCCTGGGTTTCCCACACCAGACTCCATCAGCAGACACTGCCTCCTCAAGCCCCCCACCCAGCAACTCCACCACCTACACCAGAAGCTGCCACCACCACCTGCTGCGGCCACTGTCCCAGAGTCCTGTGATGGTACTAAATGACCAGTCCACACCCAGATCATTGCCATCCACAGCGCTGCTCACCCACACGCCCCCGGGGACAACCTAGCTCCAGGAATCGCTGCCGGTGAACATTCCTGGCACCAGGGGTCAGCAGCAACTCATTTATGTGGGCCAGCAAGCCAGGATCAAAGCCTGCTTTCCTAGCACGCTGCAGACTGGCCAAGCCTTCAGGTCCTTTGTCTCCTGAGGACACAGAAGGAGGGGATGGGAGGGGGCAAGGAGGGATGGAAGGTGGCCCATCACACCCAGGAAGGGGCCTCAGGAGGACATGGAGATGGACGCCCTTACAGAGCTTGGAAGTGAGTCAATTTCCACAGAAAGGGAAGGAGCAGCAAAAATCACCAGCCAGGGCAAGAGGGGCCCAGACTGGGGTCAGCCTTGGATGAAGGGAACATAGAGAAGCCAGGGGGCTCCCAGGCAGAGTCCCAGCAGGTGCCCGGTGGTAATCAAACTGCTTCCACACACCCGAGGTAAGGCCTGTCCTGTCACTGTTCTTAATGGAAGGGACAGCCGGCTCAGGGGGGTGCAACTTGCTGCCACAGCCCCCGCCCCATGAGGACTGCTGGGAGCACTGAAACAAAGTGCACACCTGGCCCAGACTGCCCTGCACATGGCCACCCCCTGGCTGCAACTGGGGTCCCCTCTGTGCCAGGGCCCCAGCCTGGCTCAGAGACCTGCCCTCACCAGGACTCTCAATGGTGACAGCTTAGAATAGCAGGGTTTGCCTGCATGTCCTTCCTGCCTTGGCAAAGCAGGCCTCTCTCCCTTTGCCTAACAGCCACCTCACCGACAGGGACAACTTAGGAGAAAGGTTCTCTGAATACAGTTGGTCCCAGGTCCCAAGAGCCCTCTTCTCCCCATGGCTGCATATGCATCCCCTGAACTAGTGAGGAGTCCACATTCCAGCACCTCCCCTAGCGGCTGAAACAGGTCGGGCCTGAGAACCTGCGTTTAATCAGCTCCCAGCAGATTCTTCACTAACAAGTTTGAGAAATACCCACACAACAGGAGCACAGACTCTTA